CATAAAAAATAATGCAAAATTATAAATAGTAATGTGTCCACGTGGGCATATATATACCTTTAAAATACACTATTAAATAGTTTAGTGGGTAAAAAATATGGTATTAAATAGTCTAGGGAGGTAATAGGTCCTCATAAAAGTTTAGTATCGCAACAGCAAATCCGACCAAAATTGGGATATTTTTCAGACCATTATCCCTAAAAAATAACACGAATTTTCACATTGTGTCACCGCAAATGCACAAATAAACTCTAACTATTAATGGATGACATTTATAGTTAAACATATTTGAGTTTTTTCTCACTTTTTTTTTAAAAATGTAAACCACCTTTATGGTACATTTATATAGGATATATGAATATTTCCAACCTTGTGTGTGTTCCGGTCCTCACATTCGAGGAATATACTAGAAACAAAAAAAATTGTAGGATAAATAAGTTTTGAGTCTAATAAAAATTGTGGTTTTTAAGGAATTTAATTTTCTTGTAATTGTTCAAATTTGGATTAATTTTTTCCATAATATTCATTTTTCGTTGCATGTTTGGGATACGTTTGGTGTTCAATATATTCTCTGATGTCAGTAAACCATGGTTTATCGTTGGGGCGATAGATTATAGTACGTACCATTCTCCAAGAGTCTTATATGCCGATATATTTCCGCTTTCTGATTGCAGGGGCGCTAATGCGACCTTCCTTCAGTTGGTTGAAAGGCGCTTCACCTTAAGATTAAGAGAGATACTTTCTCTTGGTGATCGGTTCAATAAATGATAGTAGACCACACTATCATTTACAGGGGCAGACCCACATGGTCTTTAGGGGGCTCGGCAAAAAATTACACTCTAATTATAAGGTAATTTTTTTGAATTTATGTAGATATAATAAATTTGAACCTTCTCATGAACAAGAAGTAAGTTGTAGTGTAGTGGCAAATCTCTTTTTAGATTGGCCCACATGTCCATGATTCGAATCCCATTGTAGTCATTTTATTTTTTTTACCTTCTCTTCATTTAGTTTCAGAACCGATCTTTCATGTTTTTTGTTTTTTCTTTAAAAAAAAAGTAAATTTAAAGCCAAAAAAATTCAAACGTGCTAAAAGGTCTCTTATCACGGAACTAACTTTTTTTACTTATAAACTACTCCCTCCGTCCCTATTTAGTTGTCCATATTTCCTCTTTTAATTGTCCCTATTTAGTTGTTCATTTTGACAAATCAAGAAAGGACAATAAATTTTTTCCCATTATACCCTTATTTAAATAAAGTTGTCATAAATAAAGTAAATAAACTTACGAACTTCCCAACATTTATTAGTTATCTTGAGTGAATTTATTTTGGAATTGTAAATTGTACTATAAGGGTAAAATTGTAACTTCACTATGTTAATCATTGTTGCCTTAATCTGTGTGCCATTTCTAAAGTGGACAACTAAATAGGGACGAAGGGAGTATGTACTAGTACTTCCTTTGAATTATATTTTGTTGGCTTATTCACACATTTATTTTATTATTTTTCGAACCCCCTTAATGAAAATCCTAGATCCGCCACTGATCATTTACTCTCTTTTTTTTTTTTTGTATTAAATATGATGTAACATAGGATAGAAAGAAGAAATATCAATCCCAACAAATATTTTCAACACTGACAATTGAACTGACTGAATTTCAACGAACTCAATAAATGATAGCAGATCACACTATCATTAACTTTTTCCTGTTTTGTTTTGAAAACGATGCACACAAGAGAGAAAGAAGTAATATCAATCCCAACAACTATTCATAGTGAAATTGATTTTTTGGTTCAAATATAAGGTTTTTAATATTAATAAAAAAGATTGATCATAACAATACCATTAAATTCTTTAATGGAATCAACAAAGATTATAATAAGATGGATAAGATCCCTTCATCCTTAATCAAAGGTTTCAAATTCTGAGTATGAAAAAAATTCTTCTAGGAAGTGTTTCCAGCCTTGCATGGGCTTAATGGAGCAAAAATTTAGATTGATTAGAACCCTAATATGAATATCAAACATCGAGTGGGAATTATTATTTTTTTTTTAAAAAAACCCCTCTTTTAACTGTACAACTCTTTTCTTCATAACCCTTTGCCTTAGATATTTTTTATGCCAAAAAGAGTGACATAATGCTTTAATGCTGAATAATCCATTGGTTTGACCTTCCTAAATGAAGAATATACATTTGAACCAAGTATTAGAGTGTATAGCTATATGTCTTGTACTATATACATAAGGGCTAGTAATGTCAAAGGTATCTCGATTCCTTCAACGAAAAATAATATTTAGGTAAATATATACAAGAGATAATTGCTTCTTAATCGTAAGTTACTTGCACAAATAGGAATTGTCTTTATATCATTTAGAAAGAAATCATAAAGGAAATAGATTGTAAAGCATCCATCAAAATTATTTAAAAGGAGTTCTCCGAAGAATGAACTTCGAGAAGGTAGAGTAGAAATTAGTATGAGAAAATTCGCTAAAACAGTCAAAATGAATGAACACGTTCAATTCAATAAAAAAGGCTTTAAACCCAGTAGTTCTAGCAGTCAACTCGATTCTTTCAAATTGTTTCTCATTACTGAGAAAATGTAACAAAGATAAATTATAGCAAAGAGTAATTAATCATTGTTATTTTACATATATATTGAATCTCGTTGATCTTTTCAGTTGTTCATTTCTTTATATTTTGAATTCCCTCAACGAAAATATTGTCTTGAAGTTGGGGCAATTAGCACTAAGTTCATGTATCAAGAGGTCAAATCCAAATGAAGAAGACAACCAGTTACAAATTTATAGTGGTACAGTTGAGACCCTTCAAGTGGGGTGATTTATATCCAAAGCAGAATGTTGTGAAATGAACTTGTCAAGGTTCAAGAATAATAGAGTAGTAGCAGACATTGTAGGGTCAAAATCCTTCAGTGGATTTCATGTCATAGATGATGTGTTGTTACAAGTACTTGCTCCCTGGACATGACTCTTGTATCCAGGATTTTGAGATGATGGGTGCACTATTACGAAAAGATGGATCTAAGATATAAATTTGATCGATTTAACATTTAGGTTGTTATCACTAGAAGTAATTAAAATTTTACAATTATAAGTCCAAAATTATTTTTACCTATCCAAACCACTTAGAGAGGCGTTACCCAATTTTAGAAAGGAAAATAAAACTAGATAAATAAAAGATTCAAATTTCTAACCTCACTTAGAAAGGTGCACCCAATCATATAATCACACGGTATGATATTTCAACTATGGGTTCACATATCCATATTTAATTATTTAAAAAACAAATATAACACTACTATATATGATTTCAGGAGGGGAGCATGGGTTCACGTGAACCCGGTGACCCCCTCCTGGGTACGCCTCTGGGACCTTATCAATATTCTTGATGAAATTCTTGAGCTTATGACCATATAGTAAGCTACAACCCAGGGCTTTCGTCTAGTGATAAAAGTGTAATAAATGACGCGTAGGTCAGGCACATGATTAGAGCCATATGTTGATGGATGTTGGGGATTTCACAAGTTAATAAAAGAAGTAGTCATTTAATATCCAAATGATTATAGCCTTTGAAAGTGCCAATTAGACTTCTTAGTCAATAGCTAATGTTGTTTTCTTTAGCCATATTTGACAACTAGCAACCAAAAGGGCAGCCTGGTGTACTAAGCTTCCGTTATGCATGGGGTATGGGAAAGGACCGAACCATAAGGGTCTATTGTAGGCAGCATTTCTACAAGAAATTGTTTCCACAACTCAAACTCATGACCTCTTGGTCACGTGACAGTAACTTTACCAGTTACGCCTAGGTTCAACTTCATTGATATTCTTCTGTTCTTTACCCAAATTTGGCAACTAGCAAGCTATTCCTTCCTTTTTTCTATTCCTTGTGACTTTTAAACACATCTTTTGGAAATTTCAAGCAAACCGTTAGTAGGACCTTAGATTCTTTTGTGCAAAAGCACCTAACTTGTCCCCAATTTTACTTCTACAACAAGCAAATTCCTAATGAAATTTGTCCTGCAAAGTCAAAAGCTATATCTGTTGTTCATATATTCTTCATACATCCATATCAAACCGGAAAATACTTACTTACCCTTGGTGTTTTCATCAATTCAATGAATGCATGACATGTATCGTTACATGCACTTTTATCACTTATTCACTTAACCATAGTTAATAAATGTGACAGTCTCACCTCAATTTAATCACTAAACTATGGTAAATTAATGTAGCTTCGTGTAAACACCGAGTGTGAGTAAGTTCAGGAAGCAGTGGAAGGGGAAGATGGAGGAGTCACTATCACACAAGTTGGTTCAGACCACTAAGATATTAGTTTCAAGGTTATTCTTATCAAGAAAGAGGCCATGTCATGAAGGAAGAAGAAATAACTACCAACTCTATCCCGATTTTTTAACACACTTTTCGTTGATCTATCACAAAAAAATGCCACTTTTTATATTTATAAACAATATAATCTTCAAATTTTCATTTTACCCTGAATTAGATAATGTATAATCACATGAATGTCTAAAGTTTGTTCTAGACCACAAGTTTCAGAGGTTTTTTTTCTTTTCTTCTTAAACTCCATTCTCAGTCAAATGGTGACACATATTAAAACGGAGGGAGTAATTACTAATTCCTCATCACTAGTTAAGGTTTATGTGATACTCTTTCCTTTTTAGTCAGTCCCAAAAGAATGACAACTTTCTATATTTAGTAAATATTTAACTTTAAACTTTTCATTTTACCCTTAATGAGATTTATAAACACACAAATATGTATAACTTGTTTTAGACGACAAGTTTCAAAAGTCTTTCTTTCATTCTTAAACTCCGCGCCCAGTCAAAAACCACCACTTAAATTAGGAGTTAGGACGTAAGGATTAGGGAATAGTAACAAAAATACTAAACTGAGCGGTTGAAGGTTGGCAAGGAACACATTGAACTGAGAGATTTAAAGAAGCACAAAATATTCAACTAATAAAGTGAGAAAGTGACTCCCTATATTAACTAAAAACAAGTGATGCAAGGTCCAAAAAGGTTGCTTGGATAAGTAAAGGCAGAATTCCCTGCATTCAAATTTAAAGTTGAATAGAATGTCAAAAGTCATAGTTAAGTTTTACCAATGTGGAGGTTTATTTGCTGCTTTCAGTTCACTATAAATACTCGAACGCCATTTCAGTTCCCTGCAACACCAACTTGTTCTCTTTTGCTTAATTACCCTTTCTTGTGATCTTTAATCCAAATGGCTCCTCTTCAAGTTCTCTCTGTCTTTGTAGCATCTTTTATCTTCATGCAAACTCTGGGGAACTCTCAAACATGCCCGGATTGTTTCACTCGTTCTCGTGCAGCCCACTATCCAAATTCAGAAGAAAAAGGAACAGAAAGTGAGATTCTTGACATGCATAGTTGACAAATAACATATTAACATGTGCGTAAAATGTGGAAAGTTTAAAGTTCTCATAGAATAATTATAACCTCTTCTGTTTGGTTGCATGCAGCTGGGAGTTGTGGATTTGGTACTTTTGGAGCAACAATCAATGGCGGAGATGTCTCAGCAGCATCAGAACTCTATCGAAATGGTCTAGGATGTGGTGCATGCTACCAGGTAATGAATAAAAAGGAAGAAAAATTATGTAGTCAATAAATAGATAATAACTAGCCAAGATTTTCACGTATAAGATGTCATTCTGGACTTTACCTTGTTTTGCTAGGTGAGGTGCACCGACGGTAACTACTGTTCTGATAAAGGAGTGACTATAGTTGTAACAGACCAAGGTGCAGGTGATCGCACAGACTTTATTCTAAGTCAGCGAGCCTTTGCTCGCATGGCTCAGACAACAGATGCTGCTGCTTCTATATTGCCACTTGGTGTGGTGGATATTGAATACAGAAGGTAAGATGTATCTCCCAGTTGAAGTTAGTTTATAGCTAGGCCTGTAAATATTCTAAGTATATAAGCAAACATGGATCATTGGATATCAATTAATCGAGTACAACATAAGGTACCAATAAGTAATTTACCAATTTCTCTCCTGTTAAAAGGGAGATTCACATATCTATTACTCTTTCTCCATCGAACAGGGTCTCATGCACCTACCCGGACAAAAATATTACAATCAAGATTGAAGAGAGCAGCGACAATCCTCATTACTTGGCTTTTGTGATATGGTATCAACAAGGAAAAAAGGATATTACAGCTGTGCAACTATGTGAGGTATAACTGCTAGCTTGCAAGAACCTAACATCTGTTTCATCTTTCAGAATCCACACAGAAAAAAGTTTCTACATGAAGCCGATAAAGAAATAACATTAGGAGAAGTTAAGACTACTTCATCCAAATTGTCCTATGTTTCAATGTTTTGAATACTACCTTTTTTCAATATGCAGACACAAAATTTTGTATGTAAGCTGTTGGACAGGACACGTGGAGCAGTGTGGACTACTACTTCACCTCCAAGGGGACCTCTGCAAATCAGAATGCTACTGAGTGTTGATGACGAAGATGAGACATGGGTTGTTCCTGTCAATAATATACCTGAAAACTGGAAAGCTGGTGACACATACGACTCAGGAATACAAGAAGATGCATAAACACAAAGGATTGTTGCTATTTAATTAAATTTTATTATAAAAGCTTATTGTCTCTTTGATATTGTTACTCTGCGGTAGCTATCGTTCTTTACGGCTAGTAAATATAATCAACAAAAATTATCCTGACTCAATTATGTATTTTCAACAAATAAAGTTTATGCTTTAAAACAGTTTTTCATATTGATTCATGACCGGAATGTAAGAATACAGAACTTGTCTACATCTATTATTTAAGTTGTGCATGGGTTTTGCCCCACCTCAGGTAATCACACCTTGAGCCCATCATCTTCCTGAACAGCATCCACCAAATCAAATTCAATCGGTACACAGGCATTCCTTGAAGTCCTAAATTCTGCATCGCACGTAATTATTCCCTCTGTTTCATTTTTATGTGAAGTGTTTGAATGGCAACAGAGTTAAAGATGAAAGGAAACCTTTTGGACCTTGGGGTCAAAACTGTGCCATGAAATTTCTGTGGCTATAAAATTATGATGTTAAGCATAGAATTGGAAGTTTAGAGTTAACTGTTTCTATATATAGAAAGGTGACTTTTTTTTGGAACGGACTAAAAAGGAAAGAATTCCACACAAATGGTACATTATTTCATGTGTAAACTAAAGTTCTTCAATTAGATCACAAATCTGATCATTCAACTTAAACTATTGCTTGCATTAGATTAAACTACAAATTTCTGCACAGTGTTTCAAAGCACATGCTGAATACAGCCACCCCAATTAACCTCTACAAATGGAACACTAATCCTGGTCACAAGACTCTAGTCATGAGAACCTCTTAGCTGATAACAAAACACAAGTAACCAAGACGAGGCAAAGAAGTTAACTGTAAACATACTATAGAGCTGTGGTTGTTACAGACAAAGGTGGAAAACTCTGATAGTTACAGATACAATGGAAGACAGCTATGTTATTAGAATCCATAAGCTATCTCAATCTGAAGAATCTTCAGATATATTATGTATAAAAGAAACCGAAGTAGGAAATTTTGGAGTACTCAGCTTATTCAGATGCCTTTCCTGCCAACTTTGAGATTTCACTGCAATATGTGATGATCTTAAGTTATCCACTAGTGGCTTTTTCTTCAATCTGAGGATATCTCAGCCAATTTAAAAATCTAATCTTTCAAGAATTCCACATCGAAGATGTTCACTCTCTATTCCAATTGTCAATCATAGTCCCACCACAAAAGTTGCAGGTCGGTTGTAGACAGTAAAACAAGCATAATAGACTTGCTGCACTATGCCGGATTTTCTGCTGTACCAGAATATGCAAAGAAATGTAGTCTTGGCTCAAAAGCTGTTGCAGTTATGCTCTGTGAGTTTGATGTCCTCGATTCACTATATCTCTTTTGGCATTTATGTCCCTGTTGTTGCTTCTCCAAAGGATTCCATTATATTCAAGTTCCTCCATTCCATCACGTTTCAATCTGACATTTGATCTGAGCTCCCATCTCACTCAACATGGAAGACATCATCATTCTCTTGTGTACTGAAACATTTTCTGGAAAACACCACATGTCCGAGTTTGCAAATTGGACTAGGCTAGATCCTGCTTCCTTCCTAATTCCGTTTACAACCATTATTTTTCTTACCTTCTCCACGTCATCCCATCTCTCTTGTCCAGCATATATGTTGGAAAGAAGCACATAGGATCCGATATCCTCTGGATCCCTCTCAATTAATCTCTTGGCGACGATCTCACCAAGTTCCAAATTTGAGTGGGTCTTGCAAGCTGAAAGCAAAGCTCCCCATAATGCGGGTCCGGAGTCCATAGGCATATTCTTGATGAGGTCTTCAGAATCTCTCATCAAACCAGCCCGCCCAAGAAGATCAATCATGCAACCGTAGTGCTCAACTTTAGGCTCTATTCTATAAACTCTAGTCATCACATCAAAATACCACCATCCCTCTAATACCATCCCTGAATGAGTACATGCACTTAAAACACAAATGAACGTAGCACCATTAGGCCTCACTCCACTTTTTTCCATCTCCAAGAATGTTTCAAGTGCTTCCTCGCCATGCCCGTGAGTTCCATAACCCGTGATCATAGAGTTCCACGAGACGACACTTTTTTCTGGCATCTCAGCAAATACCTCTTTCGCCAACTCCATCTCACCGCACTTAGCATACATTGTCAATAGGGCAGTCGAAAGCAACATGTCAGGCTTAACCTTCCCACTGTATCTTATATATGAATGTATCCACTTTCCTCGATCAAGTCTCCCTAAATGTGCACAAGCAGTCAAAACACTCATGAGGATAGCCTCATTTGGCTGAATATCTCTTCCTTGCATCATTATATCAAACAATCTCAAACATCCCATATAGTCCTTCAACCGCACATAAAGAGCCATTAAAGTAGTCCAAGAAACTACATTCCGATAATCCATCTGCTCAAACAGAGCACGGGCAGCTACTACATTTCCAGTCCTAGAATATCCATCAAGTAAACAATTCCACGAAACAGTATCCCTCGAAGGCATCTCCTGGAACAGCAACTTTGCAGCCTCCATATCTCTGATCCCCACATATCCAGATAACATGGAATTCCAGCTAAAAACATCCCTTTCAGGCATTACGTCAAAAACATAACGCGCAAGATTCACTTCTCCATTTTTCACGTACCCGTCAATCATTGTGTTCCAAGTCACCAAATCTGAGTCAGAACTTAAATCAAACACCTTCCTTGCATCATGAATCCGACAACACACTGAATACATATGAATCAAAACATTCCTAGTATACAAATCCAACTCAAACCCACATTTCACTACATGGGCATGAACCATTTCCCCTTCTCTTACCCTACCCAAATCAGCACAAGCCTTAACCAATATAGGAAACGTATAATGATTCTGAAAGATCCCACTTTTAACCATCTGATCAGAGTAAAACACCAAACCCTTTTCCGGGTCATCGAAATTCACATAACATTTCATAACTGTATTACAAATAAAAGCATCTGGGTATTCAAGACTCTCAAAAATCTTTACAGCATGAGGAAAAATGGATTGTGAAGAGCAAAGTTTCATCATAACTCGACCTGCAGCTAAAGGGTGCTGAAAGATACCTGAAACAATGAGCTGGGCATGTACTTGATTAAATTGTCTCAATTTCGGGGTGCAAGAATCTAAAATTCGCAAAATGGGGTGGCTCAATGTCAATGTACTATGTACACCATTGTTGTATGGGTCAAAAGATTGAGCATCATCATGATCAGACCAGAGTTTTGGAGTGGGTTTTGAAAGGTTAATTTGGGTTTTGATGAACTTGTTAACGTATTCTAAAGAAAGGGAGAGAGACTGCTTCGAATGTTTGAATCTAACCGCCATCTTTTCTCCCCGCGAATATTACAGAACCCTGAAGAAATATGCAGTCCTTGTTGATTAAGGAAATAGAGCAAGTCCTAGTTGAAGCCTTTAGGGTCGTTTGGTTCGAATACAAAGTAATGTTTTATGTATGAAGTACACAAACTTTAATAATGTAGGCGCTAATTATATCTTATCTCAAAAGTTTTCTAAATTACTATAATCTCAAAATTGCAAGAACTCGTGAATACATTGTTTCCTCACCCAGGGCCGGCTCTTGCATACAAAATTTGAGGCATATGCCTTATTGGGGGCCTCAAATTATTACCAAGAATAAATTTTTTGTTAATTTTTTACATAAAATTATATTATTTTGTTCTCCTTAA